AATGGTTTAAGTAAGTATTGATTAAAATTTAACCTCAATACGTAGTATGTGCAGCAAAGTCTAATGTGTCTTTAGTGTCTATTAAGGTCTTTGAAACGTTGGTCACGTCTTGACTGATTGATGAAGGTAATTTACTGATAACATGTGACGGGGAGTGATTAAATAGATTACTACAGCGGTGATACATTCAGCTTTAAGCTTTGGTGTCAAAATACTTTTTAGTAATAGAATAACATCCAATTTTTATTTTATAATATGTTTTGCATGTCATTATATTTTCTTTTAAATTATTTTTAGGATATTATAGAAACCCATGTAAAATATTATATGTTGATAATCGTGTTTGTAAAATTGATAGAGGAGAGTAACCAATGCATGTGATCATAATTTAAAAACATGTAAAGGAAAACTCATCTTAGTCACCTATATGACCCATTTGTTTATTCTTATAGTTTATAATAGTACTAGTTTATAATGACAATTTTTTGGTAATAGCTTATATAGATATATTTGAAATTATAACTAGTAGAATGGTTTTTGGCATACGAATTCGTCAATATTAACTAGTGACATCTTGTTATGAACATTGAAAAATATATCTGCATGGCAATCAGCAATCCTCTGAAAAAGAATAAATCAATTTAGTTTGTAAATTGTTTTAGACACATCGATCCACTCATAGACCCTACAATGTTAAGAGGAAATCAAATACAAAATACACGTATTTTTAACGGGGCTTTTAGGTTTTTTTATTTAGTGGTTGACAATTGAGTACCTTGACTCTAGGTTACCCCAAATTATTGTTTTGGGATCTGTTTTGAATTAAAACTGTTTTTCTTTCTAACAGATGACTTTTTCAGACATATATCGTAAAAAAACTATAGGTTCACTGATATCGCATGAACTAACGAACTTTGATATCTCTTGGAAATTCGTACAACATTAACTGAGTTATAGAATATTGAACCATAATTTCAATTATTATGATCTCAAAGTAGTAAGACTGACAGATACAAACCACTTAATACAAGGAACACATAACTGAACTACCATTGGTATTTGAAAGAAACTATTAGATGTTGATAAAACATTAAATGGAGAACTTCGACTAAATTATTTTTGTATGCCATCAATGAATATGAATTAAACCTTTTCAAAAATGGGTGATATTTTCCAATATGGCATCTTACTTTAAGTTATTATAGAAACACTCGTACTTTATGATGTTTTTAGAACGTAGATGCAATTTAAAAACTTGAATCAGTCAATTAATATTTTTTATGTCATAAAACAATAATGAAAATAATTTAATAAAATCTCCATTTAATATTTTCACAAAATATAAGATAGTTTCTTGATACAACAGCTAGAACAGTTAAGTTCATCACCCGTACAATAGAACTTTTTTGCCAAGTGTATAGTTTGTTTCATGCAATTAGTATGCATTTGTGTTTAAATCCCTACACACTAGGTATTGCTTACCTTGCCATTTGAAATGAGACTGTAATGCAAATAAACAATACTTCCGGCAACAACCTTAAACATAAGCAGCATAAATTATGGATTGCCTGAAACAAACCTTTTTACAGAGTGCAAGCTATTCCATAGAATAAAATAAATATAACATGGGTTAGTTAAACTGAATGAAGGAGCTAATAGGTAGTGTCTAGTAGCAAAAGCTTGGGATATACAAATTGTATTCTATATACGGGCAAAAATAATAATAAGCCTAAATAATAAATAATAATAATACATAAATAATAATAAAAAATGTGGCAAAAATATAAATAATAATAATATTTAAAAAAAGAACTATTAAGAAGCTATTAATATTTTACTAAAAAACATTAAATTACACTCCCTGTAGCAGTAAACCTAGGTACTTGTTACACATTATGTTATTGAAATATATTTAACTGAAAGTCTAATTGATTAAACGGAAATTTGCTTAGTCTGCAGGTTTGCTGCGGCGGGGGTATTTTTTCCGACAGTTCTGGTAAAACAAAAAAGAAACGCTTTCTATGTGATTTCTTTTACATTAGAAAACAAACAAAAACCCATAAAAAAATTTTCTTATTGTATAATATATACTATGTGATATTGTCTGATTTTATAACTTCTAAGGATTATAAAAACTGTTTTAGAATATATACCTGTCTCATTGCTTTGTTTACGCGTATCTCAACAACGTTCTCATGATTAAAATCTGTGTTGTGCAGTTTTACGAGAAATTCTTTTGCCTGAATAACCTCAGGATCGTGTAAATCAACAGGAAAACGTCCTCCAGATTGTCCCGTCTCCGTCGCTGCTTTGGACACTGCCTAAAGGAAATTAATAAAAATATCTATAGCCATATATCTCTACAATGTGATTTTGTGTACATTATGACTCTAAGTGGCAGTGATTAGCTATTAGAAATGCAGCCATTATAATTATGTTTTTATGTGTTTGAGGAAAGAAATATAAAGTTATACATAAACACAGCCAAGTTATACTTAAATGCAGCCAATTTGGTAGAAAAAGTAAACAAAACAGCAATATTTTACAAAAGAAGTTTACCCCAAATGTGATCACAAAAAGGACAATTAATTGAGCCTCCATCTGTAAGGGTTATCGAACTGGTCGTTGAACACCTGAAAAAAATATACGAGTTAAGTTTTAATCACTTATGGAGAGTTGAGTGAAAACCAAACGGAAACATCAACACAGGGACATTCTGTAATGTCTGCTGCTGGGTTTGAAGCTTGTAAGAAGTCGTACTATTGTTGTCATCTTCCTCCTCGTGACAACTAAATCTACATAAAATATATTCAATTAGCACTGCCGAGTAAAATATATACTAAACTACTAAAGAAATAGGTTTTCCAATTCTAGTTTTGAGGGATTTGTATTAGAAAGAACATCACCATACTTACCTAGAACTGCATCTGGGGTGAATGTAGAAAATTGAATTGTTTTATACCCAGGCTCTCATTTTACTGCTGATTAACAGCCATAAATGAAATAAACCGTTGATAATTTAAGATTGAACACATAAAGATATTTCCATATTCAAATTTATCAATTAAAGGGCAAGTTTTATTGCAAGTGTTTTAGTATCTCATTGTTCTTCATATCGTTAAAAATGTTTACATAAGTTTTGTCTATAAGCCAGTTAATCCGTTATTGGAGTTTTGGTTTAACGTGTTTCTGTGGTTATCGACTTTAATCTCATATTTTCTGCAAGAGGTTTGGAAGATTAGTTGGGTTATTAAAAAAAGGGAAATTTAATTTAATTTTGGGCTGTTTCTTTCCTTTGCTATTTATTCGGAACCATTTTCACCAATGGAAACTTACAGGCCATCAATAATCGAACTTTTTTACAAAACATTTTTTATAATTGGCTACGTAATGATTGGTTACGGAGTCTAAAAACAATAATTTTTATGATATAATTAGCAACCTTTATATAATATTAAGGTCACTATAATGACTTTTATCTTATCTCTCACTCTCTTACCTCTCACTTATAGTGGTCACTTGTATCATTGACTTTATATCTACACAAAAATTATATTATCATGCATTATTAGTGTGTAAATGTAATTGAATATAAAACACTCGAATTGCAAACAATATTTCGACAGTTGTTGCTATGTATTAACTAAATACCCCCGCTGCAGCCGTACACTCTAGGTTGTTATAATTTGATGTATTCTGATTAAATTCACAACCGTGAAAATATACGTTTAAATCCACCTTTAATTCATCGAACTGATGTTGTGCAATTTAAAAGTTCGCGGCCGGAATTTTGCCCCCTGGTTTGTGACGTCAGTCTTGCCGAGGGGGATAAAAATCCACTACCCCATCCAGGACGTACCATGAGACCTACGGTAGAGCTCATTCCTTATATGAGAAATTCTCTAAAAGTAACATCTTTGCTTTCTATAAAGTTTATATTTCACTATGGTGGGAGGAATATAATAAGTTCCAGCTTCAGATTGTCAATGTTCAAGATGTGTTGTGACATGTGTTAGTTTCCCGCTGAGAACACAGTTAAAGACCTTTCAGTATTCTTTAAATGATATATACAAACTCAATTGTGCGACTTTGGCGCCAAGAAGCAATATCCAGTGATGCATGTAGGGTTGCAACCGACACATGTGGGATATAAACTAGGGAGCAAACCCTTCTTGTGGGGCTGGTTTCCATAATCGCAATATTTTCTGGATCTCAATTCTTAAATTATTGTCAAATATTGAAATATTACGCCAATTCCCAAAAAGACTGTATTTGGAGGTACAGTGGTGTTTCTATATGTAATTGATATAATTTGTCAGCAGGTTTAAAATTATGCTTAATGATGGTTGAAGTGGTTGTGTACATATTGTCCAGTTTTGTAAGATCTCTAAATTCAATATTTAATCAAATTATTCTTTATTCGTTCACAAGATAATTTTATGCAATAGTGCAACAAACTATTTAAAATCTAAATGAAACCAAACCTTAAACATAACTTACAGTCTGTTGTTTTCAAAAGTTGACTATTGTTTCTCTTTCAGATGGTATATTTATTTGTATAGTGCCGAGGATGAAAAAAACATTTTTGATATTATAACGTGGATTAGCATCTTAAAAAAATATATATGAGTAAAGTATCAGTTTATAGAATGGATTGAGATGCTTTTTGCAGGTTGTATACTGGCTGAGACCAGCAATTTTATCAGCCGGAACCAAAAATTAAAACCTTTATGATCAAGACCGCTCGTTCCAGTTTAAAACCATCAAAGATTTGTCAACCTGTTAATTGGCTTACGAGCACGATAACAGCTGTTGCAGTCTTGACGAGTTTTTTTTTACAATAATAATGTTTCTGAATCGAATTTACTTACTTACAGAAAGTCCCTAGTGTTGCAAACAAAGAATAATACATAACATTACCCTTATTATAATTTTGTATAAACCTAATCTGAATAATTTCAAGAACATTTTTACAGTAATTACGTAGTGTATCGTCTATGGACTTAAAGCAACATCTAGGAAACAAGACAAGTGGACGTTCGGCAAAGCAGGGCTACATGGACGAGATTGCGACCCTTGTACTACTACAAAACAACAAGTTATGGTTGGACTGTTGCAATACGGAGTGTTACAGTAGTCTCAATGAGTAGGGAAATTCCCTAGTGATAGAGTAGTTGTGTTTTTCAATAGAAAGTTTTGTTTGATTTCTTTTTATGTATTACATGACCTCGTCACTACAAGATCTTATCAAAACAACTTTAAAAATCTTGACTTTTTATTCACCCTGTATATTCGACTTTCCGCATTCACAGCAGGTGTTAGATTTTGTAAATTTTTTTTACATTTAAATTTAATTGTTACTATCTAGCCTGAAAACATTAGTAAAAACATTTTTTTAAAGAGTTTTAACGTTTCGATGACAGGTCGCAGCTGAATTAGTCAGTATAACATTTGTTTCAAAGAAATAAACTCAATCCCAATTACGGTAACAAAAAATATTGAATGCACAGGAATGTAAAATTAAATACACATAAGGGTGAGGACTTTTAATGAACCTTTATACAAATCGTTAAAAGACTCACCCAAGCATTTGTAAAGGAATATTTGAAAGTTAACAATCCTGCAGCTTACCAGTTAAAGAAACTACAAAGATCAGAGTGAACTTATTTCACCATTGAACAGCTCTCTACACTATAAGCCATCGTAATAGTTCTTGTTTAAACTAAATAGAATATTTTAACATAATTAAAAGAAATTTTACAATACTTTAAGCTTCACGTTGGAATGTTATTTTGTTAACTAAAACATCTTGAGGATAAAAAACATGAAAACATTAGTTAGAATTGAGATTAAATTTCTAATACTGAGAAATATCTTCAAGCTACGATATAGAGAGAAAACTCACCATCATGTTGCTTATATATTTATTAAGGTCAATAATTGGATGAGAATAATATGTTTTCGACTCCGTAACCAATCATTACATAGGCAATTATAAACAGTTCGATGAATGATTATTGCCTATGAGGGTCCATTGGTGAAAAAGGTTCCGAATTTAAATAGTCCAAAATTAAATTAAATTTCCCTCTTTTTTAATGAGCCGGTTAATTTTCCAAACCTCTTTGCGGAAATATAAGATTAAATTCGATAACCACAGCATCACTTTAAATCGAAACGACATTTATGGATTAACTAGTTTATAGACAAAAAAAATGAAAACATTTCAAGCGATACGAAGAACAATGAGATACTAAAACACTTGCAATAAAACTTTCTCTTTAATTGATATGGATTTGATTATGGAAATATCTTTATGTGTTCAATCTTAAATTATGAACGGTTTATTTCATTTATGCCTGTTAATCAGCAGTAAAATGAGAGCCTGGGTATAAAACAATTCAATTTTCTACATTCACCCCAGATGCAGTTCTAGGTAAGTATGGTGATGTTCTTTCTAATACAAATCCCTCAAAACTAGAATTGGAAAACCTATTTCCTTAGTAGTTTAGTATATATTTTACTCGGCAGTGCTAATTGAATATATTTTATGTAGATTTAATTGTCACGAGGAGGAAGATGACAACAATAGTACGACTTCTTACAAGCTTCAAACCCATCAGCAGACATTACAGAATGCCCCTGTGTTGATGTTTCCGTTTGGTTCTCACTCAACTCTCCATAAGTGATTAGAACTTAACTAGTATATTTTTTTCAGGTGTTCAACGACCAGTTCAATAACCCTTACAGATGGAGGCTCAATTGATTGTCCTTTTTGTGATCACATTTGGGGTAAACTTCTTTTGTAAATTATTGTTGTTTTGTTTAATTTTTCTACCAAATTGGCTGCATTTAAGTATAACTTGGCTGTGTTTATGTATAACTTTATACAGGGTGTCCAGTGATAAGTGTTAAATAAAATTTTGCATTAAACTACATGGTAATGGTGACAGAATGTCGCAAATTTGAGGTTCCCAACTTCAACAGTTAGAGAATAACAAATAAATTAAGATTTTTCAAAAATTATTGTAGTTGTTATGAAAAAGGTTATTTTACTCTGTTAAAAATGCACTTACCGTCAACTTCAATGACATTTTCAGAATCCTCACAAAATTTTAAATAAATATAACACATAATCGTTGGGGTACGTAAAAATAGTCTATTTAAAATTCTTCGTTAAACAAATTATTTTTATATCGACGAAAATGTAAATAACATTCAGCAATTTATTTCTCGGTTGTTGAGTTCCGGAGAGGTTATCAAATATGACAAAAAACTTCCTTATTTAAAGGGCTTTACAATGGTGTATAATAGTTTTTACCGAATTTCAAATTTCCTAATGTAATTCGATCATTATTGTGAAAAAACATGGTAGGGCAAAGAAAATCTATTGTGAAGAATAATACATTTAAGTGCAGGCAACAAATAATTTGTATTTCTTTCTCGCGTGCAACGCTTTGTTTATAACTACCCAGCTAAGAAAAGAAACATAGTAGTAAAATGTGTTTGTGATAAAGTTACGGTTATCGTATAATTTTCATATAAGATTTAAATTATCTCCCGGAATTTCCATTTTGTTGAATGGATTTAGTCAATAGATTCAGGTATTTTACTGATAACAATACTTTATCCAAGCGATAAGAAAACAAAGCGAACCAGTAGTCATATTTTAAAACGATCTATCAGTCACATGTGGACAGTGATCGGTCAACTATGTCTTTTTCGATTCGGGAGTACGTTGAAATGCATTTTATTTATGGTTTGTGTAACGGCAATGCCTCGGCTGCTCAGAGAGAGTACCAGAATCTGTATCCTGATCGCACCACCCCCAGTACTCAGGTGTTTACTAGAGTGCATCAACGTTTGCCGGAAACAGGATCGGTTGAGAAGAAGAAGAAAGAAGTAGGACCTGTGCATGATGTTGCAGCTGAAGAGGGTGTAATTCAGAGAGTTATGGATAATCCTACTACTAGTGTTAGGCAGCTTGCCCTTGAAACTAGTATGTCCCGGTGGAAAGTACATAAAGTGTTGAAGGACAATAACTTCCATCCGTATCATTTTACAAAGGTCCAAGGATTGGAGCCTCGTGACTTCGAATCCAGAAAGGAGTTCTGCCGCTGGCTTCTTCAACGTGATATTGTTGAATATCACTTCCTTAAAAAAATACTATGGACTGACGAATCCCGTTTTACCAGAGAAGGTGTGATAAATATTCACAATATGCATCTTTGGAATAATGAAAATCCAAAAGCCTCCAGAGAAGCTTCTTTTCAAAAAAGGTTTGGGATCAACGTGTGGGCAGGTGTGATTGGAGATCGGTTAATTGGTCCTCATATCTTCGAAGGAAATCTGAACGGTGATTTATATCTAGATTTTCTTCAGCACTCTCTACCTCAGTTGTTGGATGAAATTGATCCTCAACAAAGAGCTGAAATCATATTTCAGCAGGATGGTGCTCCACCACATTTTACTGAAAGCGTTCGGTTGTGGCTATCCCAAAACTACCCGACATGGATTGGACGTGGAGGAAGTGTGACATGGCCTCCTCGATCTCCAGACTTGAGCCCGTTAGATTTTTTTGTTTGGGGTTACATGAAAAGTCTAGTTTACTCAACTGTTGTAAACTCTGAAGTTGAGTTACGGGAGAGAATCTTTGAGGCTGCTGGGAAAGTAAGGGAAAAATTGACGTATGAGGTCACAGTTGGCGCAATCCGCAAAAGAGCTAGGGCCTGCTTGCGGGAAAACGGTGGGCACTTTACACCCAAACTGTGATTTGTGCTTCGGACAAAGTGTGTCATTGATTTGTTTAATGGGTTAACTATCATTTCATATTTAAATTGTAGTGTGTATTATGTTTTTTACTAATGTGTTGTGTTTTTTAATTACAAATTTTCCAAAGTCTTAAAAAAACTCTTTAGTTTGATGGAAGTGTAGTCTGGTCAATCATAAATTATACATACCCTCATCATCAGTGGTCAGCAAATAGTAAGTAAAATTTTATTATTTTTTACAATATCTGTTTTGGCTTGACCGTGATTTTTCACAATAGTGCGTAAAATTCACCATGGATTTGACAGTAGGTAAATGTTGTTATACATCATTGTAAAGCCCTTTAAATAAGGAAGTTTTTAGTCATATTTGATAACCTCTCCGGAACTCAACAACCGAGAAATAAACTGCTGAATGTTATTTACATTTTCGTCCATATAAAAATAATTTGTTTAACGAAGAATTTTATTTAGAATATTTTTACGTACCCCAACGATTATGTGTTATATTTATTTAAAACTTTGTGAGGATTCTGAAAATGACATTGAAACTGACAGTAAGTGCATTTTTAACAGAGTAAAATAACCTTTTTCATAACAACTACAATAATTTTTGAAAAATCTTAATTTATTTGTTATTCTCTAACTGTTGAAGTTGGGAACGTCAAATTTGCGACATTCTGTCACCATTACCATGTAGTTTAATGCAAAATTTTATTTAACACTTATGACCGGACACCCTGTATTTCTTTCCTCAAACACATAAAAACGTAATTATAATGGCACCCTTCCTAATGGTCAATCTCTGTCACTTATGGTTAATACACAAAAATCACATTGTATAGATATGGTTATTGATATTTTTATTTATTACTTTAGGCAGTGTCCGAAGCAGCGACGGAGACGGAGAGTTGGATGGGTGGAGGACTTTTTCCTGTTGATTTACACGATCCTGAGGTTATTCAGGCAAAAGAATTTCTTGTAAAACTGTACGGCAGTGACTTTTATGAAAAAGATAACGCTGTTATGCTCGAAACCAAAGCAATGAAACAGGTATACATTCTAATACAACTTTTATGATCCTTAGAGTTAAAAAAACAGATATACAAGAGGCAAATTGTTTTAAAGTTTTTTTGTTATGTTTTCTAATGTTATAGAAATCACATAGAAAGCATTTCTTTGTTATTGTTTTATCATAACTATCAGAATAAATACCCCCACCGCAGCAAACCTAGATATAATAACTGAGCAAATTTCCGTTTGCCCGATTAGATTTTCCGTTTTTTTAATAACATTATGTGTAACAAGTACCTAGGTTTACTGCTACAAGGAGTGTAATGAAGAGTTTGCTTTAGTAAAATATAAATAGCTTAGTCCATTTATTTTTATATTATTTATTTTTTATATTACTTCCACATTTCTAAAATACAGAGATTTTAAGAACATGAATGTAGTTGACTTTATGGCAGACATTTATGAAACACAATGGCACTTAATAGAAAACTTACCATCAGTTGATGAATTGGTGAATGAGTTAAACACTACAATTATTAATCTTTTTGACAAACATGCTCCAACAGTAACCAAACGTTTGACTAAAACACGTCCGGCACCATGGATAACCCCAGAAATCCGCAGATTAATGGCTAGACGTGGTTGTATTTTTAGGAAAGCTAAACGTTCTCAAAACCAAACAGAAATGGAACAATATCGTTATCTTCGAAATAGAGTGAAACAGATTTTGAGAAATTAAAAATTAAGACACACCCGTATGCTTTTTGAAAATAAAAATCAATCCTCTAGGGTTTTATGGCGCAATGTAAAAAGTCTTGGGCTTGGGAAGCAGTCTGAACCACAGAGAGTAAATGTCCCTCTCAATGATTTAAACGCTTTCTTCTCTTCATATGGTCAAAATATCGACCAACAACATGTTGTAAATTACATCAACGAAATCAGAAACCTCCCTGATCAGGACCCAGGACATCCTAAGTTTACTTTCAGACCTGTAGTGCAGTCAGATGTTCTTAACGCAATTCGTCGGATTCGAAGCAACGCAGTCGGATCGGATGGCATTCCAATTCGTTTTATAAAAGACATTCTCTTTGCTATAATCCCAACTGTCACATGCATTTTCAACACATCACTAAGGCAAAGCGTTTTCCCTATTTCTTGGAAGTCTGCCCTTATTCGTCCATTAAATAAGATCCCAGCCCCGGCATCTTGCCAGGATTTCAGGCCGATCAGTATATTGCCCGCATTATCAAAAGGCCTTGAAAGAATTGTGCACTGCCAAATGACGGAATTTCTGACTGACAACAACATACTTTGCAGCTTTTAGTCTGGTTTTCGAACGGCTCACAGCACAGAAACAGCACTACTACGTGTGACGGACGACATTAGACAAGCAATGGAACGTCGGCAGGGTACAATTCTAACACTATTTGATTTTTCGAAAGCTTTTGACTGCGTAAATCATAATCTTATTCTGGAAAAGTTAAGGGCCATAGGGTTTTCAAATGGTGTATTGGACTGGCTGGGATCTTATCTGTCAGGAAGACGGCAATGTGTTGTGGTTGATGATCTGACTGGGAGACAGTTACTTGTGGTGTGCCTCAGGGGTCAATCCTTGGCCCTCTGCTGTTTGTACTATACATAAATGACCTGAGTTCAGTCCTCACACACTGTAAATACCATATGTATGCCGACTACTTACAGATTTATACGCATTTCTCAGCAAAATATATCAATGACAGTGTTCTAAAAATCAACGAAGAAACCGAGAAAATCATTACCTGGACTGATAAACATGGACTTAGACTAAACCATACAAAAACAAGACCAATAATAATTTGTCATTCATGTTTACGAAACTCAATTGACTTTGACACAGTGAACTCAGTAACTATAAATGGGACAGCTTTACTTTACTATGACAAAGTGAAAAATCTAGGACTTACTATAAACTCGACGCTTACCTAGGGAGATGCAGTAGTAGACATACGTAAAAAGGTGTTTGCATCAACTCTGTGATCAATGACATGACTGTAAATCTTGCTGATGCTCTCCAAAGCACTCAGAACTACTGTATAAGATTTGTTTATGATCTGAGACGTAATGAGCGCATCACTCCTTTTTACGTTGATTCTAAATTACTAAAACTATGTGACCTAAGATCAATAAAAATTCTTATGATAACCTATTCAATATTAAAAACAAAATTTCCAAAATATTTTTTAAACGACTTCAAATTTGTAGCTGAAGAAAGTGTAAGAAACTCACTTTCTGCTTCAGTAACTTTGCGTATGCCTCAGCATAGAACAACAGTTTATGACAGAGCGTTTGTTGTTTCTGCTTGTCGCATTTGGAATTATCTCCCTCTAGCCATAAAAACCCTTGATAGCCGTCCCCAGTTTGTGACAGCACTAAAAAATCTGTTTTCTGGACGTATGGCCATGGTTGGTATATCCTAGGCGTGCGCTTGGTTGATCACTGACAGGTGTGCGTGTGTGTGTGCTAGTTCTTGCGAGTGTGTGTTGTGTGCGTGCGTGTGTGTGTGTAGGTGTGTGTGTGTGTGTGTGGGTGTTTAAGGTGGTATGTTTTAAAAGTTTATTGTTTCTTTTTACATTAAATATTGTAAATAGATTATAGTATTTTATTTGTATTGTACATTGTTTTGTTTTATTTGTATGTTTAGATTTGTATAAACAGGTTAAGTGTAAGAGAGGGCCATGTGGCCCTAACTTTGCCTGATTAAATAAATCATTTTTCATTTCATTTCATTTCACATTAATTATTATTATTTATTTACTATTATTATTAATTTTTTATTAAGGCATATTATTTTTGTCCATGCGTAGAATACAAATTTTTATATGCAAAGCTTTTGCTACTTGCCACAACCTACTAGTTCCTTCATTCAGTAGCTAACCAATATAATATTATTTCTATAGAATAGCTTGCACTCTATAAAAAGGTTTGTTTCAAGCAATCCATAATTCTGCTGCTTATGTTTCAGGTTGTTGCCGGAAATATTGTTTATTTACATTACAATCTCATTTTAAATGGCAAGGTAAGCAAATAAAAGTAACTGAAATAATCAAGGACTTATAGGTACACCTAGTGTGTAGGGATTTAAAAACAAATGCATACTAATTGCATGAAACAAACTATACACTTTGACCTGACCAAAGAAGTTCTATTGTACGGGGGGAAGAACTTAACTGTGCCAGCAGTTGTATCTCAGAAACTAACTATCTTAGGCCTATTTTTTGTGAAAATAGGAAATGGAGAACTTATTAAATTATTTTCTTATGACATAAAACATATGAATTCCGCTGATTAAAATTTGTTTAAATTACATCTACGTTCTATAACCATCATAAAGTACGAGTGTTTCTATAATAACATAAGTTAGATGCCATATTGGAAAATGTCATCCATTTTTGAACAAGTTTATTTCATATTCATTGATGGTATACGAAAACAATTTAGTCCAAGCTCTCCATTCGATGTTTTATCAACATCTAATAGTTTTTAAATACCAATGGTAGCTATGTTATGTGTTCCTTGTATTAAGTGGTTTGTATCTGTCAGTCTTACTACTTTCAGATCATAATAATTGGCAAAATTATGGTTCAATATTCAATGACTCAGTTAATGTTGTACGAATTTCCAAGTTTGATACAGTGATATCAAAGTTCCTTAGCTCAAGCGATATCAGTGAACCTATAGTTTTTATGATAAATTTCTGAAAAAGTAATTTAGTTACAAAGAAAAACAGTTTTAATTCAAAACAGATCAACACACAATAATTTAGGGTAACCTAGAGTTAAGGTACTCAATTGTCAACCGCTAAATAATAAAAACCTTTAACGGGGCTAAATAAAAACCCCCGATAAAAATACATGTAATTTGTTTGATATTTTTGTATTTTATTTCCTATTAACATTGTAGGTTCCATTAGTGGAACAATGTGTCTAAAACAATTTACAAACATCTATACTTGAATTATTCTTTTTCAGATATTTGCTGAATGCCATGCTGACGTATTTTTCAATCTTCACAACAAGATGCACCTAATTCATAAGTATCGTCCCCATTGCTATGACCTTGTCAACCATATATACTTTTAAAAATATCTGCATCTTCTATTACCAAAAAATGACCATTATAAACTAATACTATTACAAACTATAAGAATAAACAAATTGGTCATATAGGTAACTAAGATAAATTTTCCTTACGTGTTTTATACTATGATTACATGCATTTGTTAATCTCCTCTATTAATTTTACAAACAAGATTATCAACATATAATATTTTACATGCGTTTCTATTAAATATCCCACAAATAATTTAAAAGTCAAAAATATAAAAAAATGAACACCCAAAGCATTTGGCTTTGAGAGCAAACAAGGCAATCTTAGGGGTTTTTCAAAATTGGGGTAAATTGGAGTTTCTAATAAAACTATTTATGTTACACTCAATCTCCGAAATTTCTACCCACTCCGCGATGTGGATAGTGCAAAATACCCACGTTGCGGAGTGAGCATTTTATTCGGACATTGCCCGAAACGAAATGCCCAGACCGCGTTGTGGGTAAACGGATTTACTCAAACGCCGAAGTCAAAACATTCTTCGGCGATTGAGCAAATCCAAAATACCCACAACGTGATGTGAGCAAAAGTGATTACCCACGTCGGGTAGTGGGTATTTCTAGTTTGCGCAAACGCCGACTAGTAGTTTATAAACTACCGTATACCCAAAAACCTACATGAAATCCACAATCACTAGGTAAAATAAATAAAATTTATGTTTGTGGTTATAATTATTTAATGTATAAATATAATTTTGGAAAATACAAGAAAACAGCAAATTACCGATTAGGAAAAAATATAAGTCTCATTGCTCTCTATATACGTCTTCATTATAAATTGATAGATTCGGATAAACACCGAATTACCAAAGTACGGGTTTGTTATAAACTGCTAATTCTATCTGTTGGTATTAATTCAATAAACAAAAATTGTGAATTGATACTTTGTTTTGAACACTTGTAGACTACATGCGTCATGATTGTATCACAGTAAGCCATCCTTTCCATAAAGAAATACTAAAGAATTAGTAATGGTGCCAGTTTGTGGATAGAAAACAAATACTTTTTTCTTTGAATGCAGTACATTTTTCGCTTTGTAGATACTTTTATGTGTTTAATATTCTGTGAAGCTGTGAAGCTATTATTTCGTCTGACGTGTGAATCACTGTCGCAACTTCATCCGTGTCCGCCGGGGATTATACTGGCATTTGTAGGTTCTGGTTTTTGGTCTCTACCAACTTGGTTGTATGTCACTGACTGGATTAATGTGGGAGATTCACGATCACCATGGACAAAGTACACGGGGGGGTTTCGTTTCGAGAAATTACTGAACCTATTACTGATTATTGTTTTGCATTCGGCCATGAATACGCCCATTTATATTTTCATTTTTAGTACAATAGATACAAACACGGAGCAAAAGAATACAGCTACATACATAAACCACATATCTTTTAAATATCATAACATATTTGGTGCAGTTTCTCAATGTACACCAAATGGATTTCTTAATACTACAGGTCTTTGACAAAGACAGATGTGAGTTTAATGTCCATGTGAACTTAAATACTAATATTAAATACTAAATACGTCACCCAAAGAAACAGTGGATAAACCTCCAGTAGCTGAGAAGTACCTGCCGTTACAGGGTGTGACGTAGCTTAGGAATTAAACTCGCTTACAAAATCCAACTTTAATATTACTCAAAACAAAACAAAGAACACAAAGCTCAGTAAAAATCAAAAGAGGTAGAGTAGACTGGAACAGTGTTAATAACCTTATTAGAAACTAAACCCCCAATTTTGAAAAACCCCCAAGATTGCCTTGCTTGCACACAAAGCCAAATACTTTGGGCTACAGCTCCCCCAGCAAGTCCCTGTCCTTCTGTACCCCACACTCACCACTACCCGCCAAGTGACCAGATGATTAATTTCACTGGCCTACAGCAACAGCCTTCAGTAGGTCAGCACAACATGTGATTGTTTAACAACACTACCAGCCTACTCACACAACATTGTCAAACACTTCCTGTTTACAATATTTTGACCCCTTCCATTACAGTAATCTATCTTATCTATTTAATCTTAGAAACATAAAAAATTATTTTTAAAGTAAATTTACAAGTAATTTTGATGTTCCTATTAAATTTTGTCGTTTGGAAATGTTTTGGTTTTATACTTTATTAATATTTTGCTTATTCCTTTATCAAGGTAATTTTCTTATGCAAAGTCTGAAAATACTCTCTCACGACATGGTTATTGCATGTTATGCATGTGTTTGAATCTGTTTATAAAACCTCATTTATTATGGTTTTGAGGGAGTATAAAATACGTAAATAAAAAAACTAGTATATAATATCTAAATGAATACAAAGTAAGCTGTCAAAAAATAATTGAGATCCAGAAAATATTGCGATTATGGAATCCAGCCCCACAAGAAGGGTTTGCTCCCTAGTTTATATCCCACATGTGTCGGTTGCAACCCTACATGCATCACTGGATATTGCTTCTTGGCACCAAAGTCGCACAATTGAGTTTGTATATATCATTTAAAGGATACTGAAAGGTCTTTAACTGTTTTCCCAGCGGCAAACTAACACATGTCACAACACATCTTGCACTTTGACAATCTGAAGCTGAACTTATTACATTTATCCCACTATGGTGAAATATAAACTTCATAGAAAGCAAAGATGTTACTTTTTGCGAATTTCTCATATAAGGAATGAGCTCTACCGTAGGTCTCGTGGTACGTCCTGGATGGGGTAGTGGATTTTTATCCCCCTCGGCAAGACTGACGTCACATACCAAGGGGTAAAATTCCGGCTACGAACTTTTCAGTTGCAGAAAATAAGTTCGATGGATTAAAGGTGGATTTAAACGTATATTTTCACGGTTGTAAATTTAATCAGAACACATCAAATTATAAAAACCTAGAGTGTACGGCCGGGAATTTTACTCCCAGACAACTTATAAAGATTCGATTAGTTGGCAGGTTTGCTGCGTCGGGGGTTTTTAGTTTATACACAGCAAAAACTGTTGAAAATATTGTGTGCAATTCGAGTGTGTTTATATTCAATAAAATTGACGCACTAATAATGCATGATAATGTATTTTTTCTGTACAAAAAATACGATTTGCTTACTTGTTTGAACAAATAAATTTATCGAAATTGTTTGGCTAAGAGGCAGAGAGCTATTGTTGTGTGATACATTCTTTCTACTAAATTCTTCATTGTCAGAACATGACCCTAATGTTCGCCATATTGCTGAAGCTCTCGTCGCGACGACACTTCCTTCCGCTCTTAAAGACATTGGCAAACCTCCTGAACCACAGTTTATACTGTGAAAATGGGTTGCATCTCAGGTTAGAGCTCTTGTAATCCACTACGCAATATTAAATTAGTAAAATACCATTATACAGTTTTATGTTATGAGGCAAAGAATACAATTATTGTGTTTTGAAGGACTAATAAGTAAAAAGGACAACAGTAGAATAATAATAGTAAGGGGGTTGACCATTCCCTTCTACGAAAATATTTTAAAATTTGTATTTTCAAACCTACTAAAATAATTAAAATACAATAATGAAAAAAATGTTAATACTATTTCTTCATACTAATGCTAATCAATACTAATTATTTGTATTCAAAATATACTGTTTTAGCTTTTAGTATTTAAAAAATTGAAATTGTGTTTATATAATGTTTTCCAGCTAATTTACAAATGCTATTCCATATTTTCTCTTATCGTACGTGAGCCGAGCCGGTAGATGTTGTAATAAGTTAGCTTTAAAGTTTTTTTAAGCACTACTACTAAGCACCTTCATTATTCATTGTCATTTAAAGGTTGCAAATTAAAATCCATATTACATATTTAAAATTTGCAAATATCCTCTATACTGACATTTTGAATTAAGTCCATCGTTGGCTATCGATCCTACAAAATCAACATTTCTACGAAACCCATCGGGTGGATTTTATAACAAACATTTGGTCTACCTAAACTTCCGACTGATGATGAACCTACGGGTTTGAAATTAATATCGGACCACCATAATAAGGATCGCTAAGGTAAGACTTTACTATTTATTTGATTATATAAGCAATCCAGATGCTGAAATGATAGATAAATTCACGATGGTTTGCTAAACAAATGTTTTACTTAAACGAGTTATCATTTTCTTAGCATAAACTAACATTTTGGAATCCAGACAGAAAAAGCAAAACTTATACAGTTAAGACATCAATTAAACTGAATAGGACTGTATAAATAAGGTGCAATACCAACGATAACTAATTTGTAAATTACAGTGATGTTTTGGTACGTAAAAATTATTCTTGCTGCTACCAATGGTTCTAAAGAAAAGAACCAGTACCAAAAACCAACGTTTACAGTTAGCAACTAAAGTATCGTCCAATTAAATGCGTTAATCAAGTCCCAAGGTTATTGATTTCTTGGTTTTGAATTTTCTCGTAAAAGTTTATCGGCAATTAAAGTTATTTCCCATTAATTGCTTTATTCGTAAACAACTTTTAATTTAGGCCTAAACTTATTGGTGTCAGTTTGGAAAAAAACAACCTTGTACAAACAACTTTTTGTTATTTAATAGATTACGTATTCTCTAAACAATGATTGGTATATCTATTAACATTAGAAAGATATGTGACAAAAATCACACAATGCTGGGTTTTTGGACGTTTGTAATTTTATTTCTTAAGTAGGGAGGCCGTGTATTCTAGGGAAAAGTACCGGTATCAAGGATCGTCGTCAAAAAGTTTGTTATGAATAATTGGGTAGGCGTAAGTACCCAAGAGATGGGCTATGGGCCTATTGGCTGTATGGTCAAGCGATTGCATCACACGGTGAGTAGGAACAGAAAGTGACACAATGGAAAAGCGAGTTTAGCATCATCCATAAACCGTAAACCTCTGTTAATCACCCACTGCAGTTGTTTACTTTACACTTTACACAACAGCCATTGAAGCGCCGTCAATGAGTGGAAACCTTGTTTGTAAGCTATTGGCTACGATCATTAATAAATTTAAGTTTCCCAGCCCTATACAACACTGATTCAAGGTCTTCTTTCTGGTTATCTAACCTCAAGAACAATTTTATACACAAAGAATATCTGGTTCCTGACCTGGATGACGCCTAGTTATTTAATTTCATTTAGGTTACACTATATTATTCCACTTGCGATGAATTAAATCTTTTATGTAAGAAAAACGTTTTTGATCTCACTTGGTTAGGATTTGCCTTCAAAATGTGATCAGAAATGGTTGGGGTATTTGTAAACAACATTTGTAAACATATCAGTGACAGCTAGAAAAAATAATCATGATCCGAACAGCTGTTCGTTATTTCATAGATGATTATGTGATAAAAATTGGACGAAAACTTTGACAAAAATTGCACAAATTTGCATTTTTGAACGTCCGTAATTTTATTTACAGAGTAGTGAGGCCATATTTTAATGGCTAAAGACACTCTCGCCAATCCAGTTGAATTACATTAAAATGACTTGGATCGTGACAGGTACTCTCGTTTTCCTGGAGAAGATTGCGTAAAATGCCGTCTTGAGTGTTACAGAAAGACAGACAGACAGAAATTTAGATGAGACTTGTTTCGGCTTCTTTAATGTATAAAACGTAAAAATAACCAAAAACTGTATGATTCTGAGCAATGTACAGACAAAACTCTAATTTTATTTATATAGATAACATTTGTAAAAAAAAAAAAAAAAAAAAAAAAACTCTATCCCAATTACAGTAACAAGAAATATTGAATGCACAGGAATGTAAAATTAAATACACATAAGGGTGAGGACTTTTAATGAACCTTTATACAAATCGTTAAAAGACGCACCCAAGCATTTGTAAAGGAATATTTTAAAGTAAACAATCCTGCAGCTTACCAGTTAAAGAAACTACAAAGATCAGAGTGAACTTATTTCACCATTGAACAGCTCTCTAGACTATAAGCCATCGTAATAGCTCTTGTTAAAACTAAATAGAATATTTTAACATAATCAAAAGAAATTTTACAATACTTTAAGCTTCACGATAAAATGTTATTTTGTTAACTAAAAATCTTGAGGATAAAAACATGAAAACATAAGTTAGAATTGAGATTAAATTTCTAATACTGAGAAATATCTTCAAGCTACGATATAGAGAGAAAGCTCACCATCATGTTGATTACATATTAATTAAGGTCGATAATTATATGGAAATAATATGTTTTCGACTCCGTAACCAATCATTATATAGCCAATTATAATTTTTTTTTGTAACAACAGTTCGATTAATGATGATTGCCTATGAGGGTCCATTAGTGAAAAAGGTTCCGAATTTAAATAGTCCAAAATTAAATTAAATTTCGCTTTATTAAATAAGCCAACTAATCTACCAAACCTCTTGGAGGAAATATGAGATTAAAGTCGATATCCACAGAAACACGTTTAACTAAAACAATACGGATTAACTAGTTTATCGACAAAAACTATGAAAACATTTCAAGCGATATGAAGAACAATGACATACTAAAACACTTGAAATAAAACGTGCTCTTTTATTGATAAGGATTTGATTATGGAAATATCTTTATGTGTACAATCCTAAATTATCAACGGTTTATTTCATTTATGGCTATTAATCAGCAGTAAAATGAGAGCCTGGGTATAAAACAAGTAAGTTTTCTATATTCACACTAGATGCAATTCTAGGTAAGTATGGTGTTTTTTTCTAATACAAATCCCTCAAAACTAGAATTGGAAAACCTATTTTCTTAGTATTTTGGTATATATTTTACTTGGCAGTGCTAATTAAATATATTTTATGTTGATTAGTTGTCACGAACATAATTATGCTGTTTTCCTGTTTTCCACATTTGATTTTGTTGTCCCAAGGGGGAAGATGACAACAATAGTACCTTTTCTTACAAGGTTCAAACCCATCAGCAGACATTACAGAATGCCCCTGTGTTGATGTTTCCGTTTGGTTCTCACTCAACTCTCCATAAGTGATTAAAACTTAATAGTTTATTTTTTCAGGTGTTCAACGACCAGTTCGATAATCCTTACAGATGGAGGCTCAATTGATTGTTCTTTTTGTGATCACATTTGGGGTAAATTTCTTTTGTAAAATATTGTTGTTTTAATTAATTTTTCTAACGAATTGGCTGCATTTAAGGATTGGATTTATGTATAACTTATTATTTCTTTCCTCAAACACATAAAAACATAATTATAATGGCTGCATTTCTAATAGCTAATCACTGCCACTTAGAGTCATAATGTACACAAAATCACATTGTAGAGATATATGGCTATAGATATTTTTATTAATTTCCTTTAGGCAGTGTCCAAAGCAGCGACGGAGACGGGACTATCTGGAGGACGTTTTCCTGTTGATTTACACGATCCTGAGGTTATACAGGCAAAAGAATTTCTTTTAAAACTGCACGCCAGTGACTTCTATAAAAAAGATAACTTAGATATACTCGAAGATAACTTAGATATACTCGAAACCAAAGCAATGAAACAGGTATACATTCTAATACGATTTTTATGATACTTAGAGTTAAAAAACCAGAAATACAAGAAGCAAATTGTTTTATGGTTTTTTGTTATGTTTTCTAATGTTATAGAAATCACATAGAAAGCATTTCTCTGTTATTGTTTTATCATAACTATCAGAATAAATACCCCCACCACAGCAAACCTAGATATAATAACTGAGCAAATTTCCGTTTGCCCGATTAGATTTTCCGTTTTTTTAATAACATTATGTGTAACAAGTACCTAGGTTTACTGCTACAGGGAGTGTAATGAAGAGTTTGCTTTAGTAAAATATAAATAGCTTAGTCCATATTATTTTTATATTATTTATTTTTATATTACTTCCACATTAATTATTATTATTTATTTACCATTATTATTTATTTTTTATTAAGGCATATTATTTTTGCCCATACGTAGAATACAATTTCTATATGCAAAGCTTTTGCTACTTGCCAAAACCTACTAGTTCCTTCATTCAGTAGCTAACCAATATAATATTATTTCTATAGAATAGCTTGCACTCTATACTCTATAAAAAGGTTTGTTTCAAGCAATTCATAATTCTGCTGCTTATGTTTAAGGTTGTTGCCGGAGATATTATTTTTTTGGATTACAATCGCATTTTATATGGTGAGGTAAGCAAATAAATGTAACTGAATTAATCAAGGACTTATATACCTAGGCTGTAGGGATTCAAACACAAATGCATACTAATTGCATGAAACAAACTATACACTTTAACCTGACAAAAGAAGTTCTATTGTACGGGGGGAAGAACTTAACTGTGCCAGCAGTTGTATCTCAGAAACTAACTATCTTAGGCCTATATTTTGTGAAAATAGGAAATGGAGAAAATTATTAGAAAATTATATAAATTATGGAGAGAATTGAAATTTGTTTAAATTACATCTACGTTCTATAACCATCATAAAGTACGAGTGTTTCTATAATAACATAAGTTGGATGCCATATTGGAAAATTTCATCCATTTTTGAACAAGTTTAATTCATATTCATTGATGGCACACGTAAACAATTTAGTCCAAGCTCTCCATTCGATGTTTTATCAACATCTAATAGTTTTTTAAATACCAATGGTAGCTATGTTATGTGTTCACCTTGTATTAAGTGGTTTGTATCTTTCAGTTTTACTACTTTGAGATCATAATAATTGGCTAAATTATGGTTCAATATTCTATGACTCAGTTAGTGTTGTACGAATTTCCAAGTGATATCTAAGTTCCTTAGTTCAAACGATATCAGTGAACCTATAGTTTTTTTACGGTAAATTTCAGAAAAAGTAATTTTGTTACAAAGAAAAACAGTATTAATTCAAAACAGATCCACAAACAATAATTTAGGGTAACCTAGAGTTAATGTAGGCCTACTCAATTGTCAACCACTAAATAATAAAAACCTTTAACGGGGCTAAATAAAAAGCCCCGTTAAAAAAACATGTATTTTGTTTAATATTTTTGTATTTTATTTCCTATTAACATTGTAGGGTCTATTAGCGGAACAATGTGTCTAAAACAATTTACAAACATCTATACTTGAATTATTCTTTTTCAGATTATTACTAAATGCCGTGCAGACGTATTTATCGATCTTCACAACAAGATGCACCTAGTTTATATGCGATTTCCTCGGTGCCAATCACACTAGTTATAATTTCAAAAATTTCTGTATCTTCTATTACCAAAAAATGGTCATTATAAACTAATACTATTATAAACTATAAGAATAAAAAAATGGGTCATATAGGTAACTAAGATAATTTTTCCTTTACGTGTTTTATACTATGATTGGTTTGGCATTGGTTACTCTCTTTTATCAATTTTACAAACACGATTATCAACATATAAAATTGTACATGGGTTTCTATAAAATATCCAAAAAATGACTTGAAAGTCAAAAAAATTATAATATGCAAAACAATTGGTAAAATTAAAGTTTGGTGTTATTCTATTGTATTACAGTATTAGCCTACATCAAAGTTTATACTGAATGTATCACTGCTGTGGTAAGCTATTTAATCACTCCCCGTCACATTTTGATCAGTAAATTACCTTCATTGATCAGCAAAGATGTGACCAAAGTTTCAAAGACCTGAATAGACATTAAAGACACATTAGGCTTTGCTGCACACTACGTATTGAGATTGAATTTTACTCAATAACTTACTTAAACCATTATTACAATTAATTTATAATTAGAACTTAAATTTCAAATAGTTTCCAATCTTAATATTTGTGAAAGATTATATTTATTTCGGTTAATCGATATAAATATAAATAAAGAAACTTTACCACAATTTCTAGGTGTATATTATTCGATATAAAACTTTAAATAGCAAACTTTTTATATAGATACTATTTTAAAATGAAAATGGCTTTTTACTGTTTTTATTGTGTATGAGCTGTTTATATTGTATCACTCGACAATAATGTTCCCTGTATTAACGTATATTAGTTCAAGTCCATTCACAGCAAAAACAACCATATCTTTACAATTTTACTTAAGGTCAGAGAGGTGTCACTCAAAAATACAAAGTAGTCTATCAAAGCACAATTTCTCTCGTGAAATATGTTAGTAAACGACGTGTCTCGTTAACAAAATGATATTTAAGTCAACAGTAAAATCTTGGGGGATAATTGTTGCCAGATATTGAAATATTACGCCAATATAAAAAAAGAAACTGTATCTGGAGGTGCAGTGTTGTTTCTATATTTAACGGATATAATCGGTCAGTGGGCTTAAAATTATGCTTAATGATGGATGAAGTGGTTGTGTAGATACAGTCCAGTTTTGTAAGATCTCTAAATTAAATATTTAATAAAATAATCCTTTATTCGTTCACAAGATAAAACAATGCAATAGCCCCACAAACTATTTAAAATCTAAATAAAATCAAACCTTAAACATAACTTCGTGCAACACATACAGTCTGTTGTTTTCAAGAGTTTACTATCGTTTCTCTTTCAGATGGTATATTTATTTGTATCGTACCGAGGATGAAAAAAAAAACATTTTTGATATTATAACGCGGATTAGCATCTTCATAAAATATATATGAGTAAAGGATCAAATTATAGAATGGATTGAGATGTTTTATGCAGGTTGTATACTGGCTAAGAACAAAAATTTTATCAGCCGGAACCATAAATTAAAAACCTGATGATGAAGACCGCTTGTTCTAGTTTTGAACCATCAAAGATTTGTCGACCTGTGAATTGACTTGCCAGCACGATAACAGCTGTTGGATTGTTGGCGAGGTTTCTTTACAACAAAAATGTTTCTGAATCGAATTTACTTACTTACAGAAAAGTCCCTAGTGTTGCAAACAAAGAATAATACATAACATTACCCTTATTATAATTTTGTATAAACCTAAGCTGAATTATTTTAAGAACCGTTTTATAGTAATGACGTATCGTCTATAGACTTAAAGCAACATCTAGGAAACAAGACAAGTGGACGTGGTGTAGAAACAAATCGCTACAATGAATCTCAGTTTGTCTTCGACAAGTAAGATTGTGCCGTGTATCTTGTGGACAGTTCGGCAAAGCAGGGTTACATGGACAAGATTGCGACCCTTGTACAACAAAACAACGAGTTATGGTTTGACTGTTGCAATACTGAGTGTTACAGTAGTCTCAGTGAGTAGGGAAATTCCCTAGTGATAGAGTAGCTGTGTTTTTCAATGGAACGTTTAGTTTGATTTTGATATGTATTACGTTACCTCGTCACTACAGGATCTTATCTCTGTCAGGTGTGGTAAAAGTATGTGGGTCTTTGAAAGATGGAGTAAAACTATTGTTTATGAATTTTCTAAAATTAAAGAATATGGGTATTTGTTGTCCTTATAATACCATTAACCCTTAAAAACCTAATATTTTGTTTGTTTGTAATTACAATATTTTAAATAACAAAACTTTAAATGGCTCCTGAAATTATGATTTTGTCACGACTGTATTAGTTCCTATATGCACATGAAAAACAAGTAGGTGTTAAGATATAAAATATGTCACTTATTTAAAACGTAACATGTATTTGCGATACCTTGTCTTGGGGTTACAAGCATTTTAATCCATATTTCGTGATTAATTTAAACTTACATTACAATATTGTTATTTGAGGATGTAAAAAAACCTTAGCGCCAGATATAAATCATTATCTTAGTAACCTAAATAACTTCTTGATAAGCATTGTTCGTGTTATTAAATTTTCGGAAAGTAAATAAAGATACGTCTTATAACACTTAAAACTTCTTTTAAAACTCATCACTTTAACAACTTTCACTTAAAACTGTCTTTTTCTTAGTAACCTCCAAGGACATTACAGTAAACTTATATCATTAATCAAGTGAGGTTATGTTCAGCACCTCAAAGCCCGTTGACATCACATGGACATTAAACTCACATCTGTCTTTGTCAAAGGCCTGTTGTGTTAAGAAATACATTTGGTGTACATTGAGTAACTGCACCAAATATGGTGGTTAAGAAACCAGCATAATTCATTCCTATAATATTAGTAAAAAATACAATTGCTGTAAAAAATTATAATGGCCTAGTAGTAAGAAAGATATTTTAAAGAGTAAATCTTGAATATGTTTACTATTGGATGTTTAAAAAGGATAATTTTTTATATTCTTTGTGAAGCTGCAATAATATGTTTTTTTTTTACTTCTGCTAATAAACGTTTAATTTAAGTTGTGGAATCCCATGGACACATAAAAGCCGGTATAAGCTTACTGGTAGTTTACTTTTTCGCATTTTATAATTTTACTAGCATTATGTGCTCTTTTTAAAGAGTTAAAAAGTCCACGCCAGGAAGGCCTCATACAGGGTGTCCATAAAAAACGTTTCAGGACTTTGGGAAATCAATCCTCATACTAAAAGAAAGAAAAAAGTGTATGTGAAGGTATGTCCGAAAAAGCATATTTACCCAGTTTTCCACCATTTCGTTTTCTATACAAAAGTATTTTTCTCTGTGAAGTTTTTCTTTCGATGATTATGAAATTTGGTAACCATGTTAACACAAGACCTATTGCAGAAAAAATAATGAAGTTGTTCCGATTGTAAATTTCAAAATGGTGGCCATTTGAATTTGTATAACTTAAATAACTCAAAAATGGCCAATTCTATGAAATAATGTCAAAACACTGTTTTTTTAGAATTTTTAATTTCCTATCAAACGATACCAAGATCAAACAGATTGGACTACGACTAACTTAAATATAACGTTTTTTAGCTGTAAGGCCAGGCAAAATTAAGGGTTCCCCGACTAACTTTGCCTTATTTTTACACAAAAAACTTTATATTTCAGTTATCTTTTGTCCGATCTTTTAAATCTTGGTATCATTTGTATTCAAAAAAGTATTCTTGAAATTTTTTCATAGAATCAGCCGTTTTTGAGTTATTTAAGTTATAAAAATTCAAACGGCCGCCATTTTGAAATTTACAATCGGAACAACTTTATTATTTTTTCTATAATAGGTCTTGTGTATGGTAATATGGTTACCAAATTTCATAATCATCGAACGAAAAACTTCACAGATAAAAATATGTTTGTATAAAAAACAAAATGGCAGATAACTGGGTAAATATGCATTTTCGGACATACCTTCACATAAACTTTTTTCTTCCTTTTAGTATGAGGATTGATTTCCCAAAGTCCTGAAACGTTTTTTCTGGACACCCTGTATAAATAATACCTTTCTGTACTTTATAGCTTAAACTGAGATCTTCATATCACCAATTACGTTTTATATGTGTTAAAATGTAAAATTCTAGTAGAACTAATTAATAATAAAGAAATTATAGATATTTACTCAGAAAAGTGGACATGGTTTTCTCATTCATTTACTCACTCAACTCAATATTTATTTACATTTTTGAAAGTAAACACTAACATTTTAATAATTAGAAAACATATGACTTAAATAAAGAAATTATGGTAAAGTCTAACCATACTCCGCCCCTTGAGATACCCTGTATCTCAAGATCAGTCCGTTGGAATGACAATCAGTTTTGAGATGGATCGTTTGATTATTCCACTTGTCGTTTTTAAGGTGACCACACGTACTATTCCATCAGTTCCTGGATGTACTTCTTCTAATCTGGCAGTGTGCCACTTACATAGAGGAATATTTTCTTCCTTGATGATGACTAGATCTCCGACCTTTAAATTCTTTGTTACCTCCGTCCATTTGCTTCTTTGTTGTAAGTTATTTAAATATTCTAGAGACCACCTCTTCCAGAAATGTTGATTCATTTGTGTTACAAGTGTCCATCTTTTTACGTGATTAATTTTATCACCAGTCAAATCTCGGTTAGGAACTGAAGTTAAAGGAGCAAAAATAAGAAAATGTCCAGGTGTAATAACATTTAAGTCTCTTGGGTCATTAGACATAGGGGATAATGGTCTTGAATTAAGGCAAGCTTCGATTTCAACCAGTAAAGTGGAAAGTTCTTCGAAGTTTAACACTTGATCGCCCATTACTCGAGTTAGGTGAATCTTCATAGATTTAATTGCTGACTCCCACAATCCACCAAAGTGTGGTGATGATGGAGGAATGAAGTGCCAGTTGATACTTCGTTCTTGAGAAAATCTCGAAATTGAATCGGACTTGACAATTTCACGGTGTAGTTGGTTATAGGCACCTTTAAAATTGGTTGCGTTGTCAGAATACATGTCGTTAGGAAATCCTCTTCGACCAACAAATCTTTTGAAAGCGCTCAAAAAGGCATCTGAAGTTA